TTTTTGTTGTGCTTTGGTTTGGCATTAAACACTGAAATACTTGTAAACAGAGAGAAAAGCAACTTGAATAAATCATTAAAGCTCCTGATTGTTAGTTTTGACAAGTGAAAAATGCCTCTGAATCGTCTGTCTGCACACATAACACAACATTCCTCGATTGTATTATTTATAGAAAACTGAAAACAAAGCAGTGAATACAGAGCAGCTAAAGGTTGTTGTCAAATGGGAATGTCAGCTTGTGTTGGTTCCTCTATATACGTGTGGTCGGGGGTGTTATGGAAGTCATATATGGAGGAGGCGTGGGAGGAAGGGAGGATGGGAAATAATGAGGGAGAGAGAAACCCAGCAGCCGGTTGGAGTGAAATCAAAGCATCATCAGGGAGCTGATTATTTCTTCTTTACGATTTTTCATTCTCAAATATTTCCTCTCGTAGAAAAAACAAAAACATGCTTTAATCAGTCATTTTTATAATAACAATGTATTACATGACAATGTGACAGTTTTTGACAGTGTAAAGTGATGGACCTGAATCTACAGCAGGGGTCCCATCGGTTTTAACGAGTAAACATTGAGACCGTCTGATACTCCCAAGGTTCACCCTTGTATCTGATTTGATTGAATATATATATTAGCTGTTATCTTTCTTTATGAATTTCCTGCAGTGCTTTGAAATAACAACTGCTCTTGATATGTATTTATTTTTCTGTGAATCAATCATGACACCTCTGAGGAGAATACACCGGTGCTTCCCCACCATGTTGCATATCAATGGGTTGTGAGCATTATAATCAGTGATTCTGGAGCCAGATGAGGTCCAATAAAATAAAAAAAGTATATGTTAAGGATTCTCACCTTGCAGACGTAAATTCAACTCACTTTTTAATCCAGGTTGGAAGCTGTTGCAACACAAATGTAACAGCAGTGCACTGCAGCATACAAATTTGCCTTGGGATGCTGCATGCATCTTATTTATTGTGAGCGGTTCTAAGGCTGCACATAGAGCTCAACATGCTCAATTGCTTTTGTTTCCCTTTGCAATAAGAATAGTTCCAGGTGGAGAAAGTACGAGCTCTGAATAGAAATCAATAGTCTGGATCTCTCAACCAGCATTTTGTTAAGACAGGAACAGATTGTTGTTTACTTGAAAATTTGCAGTTACACACATGTGCAAAAGCACAGAAGCTGGGAAGATGTTGCATTGATTGATGTGAGGCTTACATTTGATTACATGAATGATGTGGGTGAATTCATGCCCTCTCATCTTTGTGTCTGTCCGTGGGTAACACAGAATTAATATGTGGCCATTAGAGAAGCGACGTAGATGAGGCTGTGAGGATGTGTCGGCACGCCTCCTGTTCCTCATCTGTTCTTCACAAAGCCGAGGTTCGTGTGTCACCGTCATCTTTAATGAACGCTTC